TAGACCCCATCTGCACCTTCCTCTTTTCCATCCTGGTCCTGGGGACGACCTTGACCATCCTGAGAGACGTGATCCTGGTGCTAATGGAAGGTGACTGGGTGTGGGGCTCCCTTTCTGCTCTTGGCTCTCTGGCCCTGACGGGAGTCCCAGGGCTGAGGGGTGGATCCCAGCACTTTGGTGGAAAGCCAGGGCCTGGAGCATGGCATAACCTGGGGCCCCAGGCTGATCTTGGCATGGGGCTGGGCCCTCAGGTGTGGCCCTTCCTGGAAATGTCCTCGGACCATGCCTTCCCTTCCCCCGAGGCCCAAGGGTGCCTCCTCCCTGCTCAGATGTGGCCTCCTCACCCAGTCAAGTGGTTTCTGGGTTGGGTCTGTAGCACCTGGCACCCCGGCCCTTCCCCATACACTTTTGCCTTCCCTCAGGCAGAGGGAGGGGTGAGGATTATGCTTCCCAGTTGCACAGGGGGCAGGCTGAGGCTCAGAAAAAAGCAGTCAGTGTTGGCCGAGGCTGCCGAACTGAGAGCCAGTTCAGATCTTCTTTTCTGAGGCCGCTACCTCAGGCTGGGCTTTGAGGGGTGCTGGGTAGTGGCAAATGGTATGCCCTGAGTTACCACACTATTCATCCCACTTTGAGCTCCAGGTCTTGCGTCAGGAGTGTCTCTGTGGGCAGGGTCAATCCGAATCCCAGTTTGGGGTCAGCAGGAATGTCCAGCTACAGGTCAGAACTTTTCTCCAAGAATGTGCCTGACCCACATAAAAATGATGATGACGCCCCACTAGGTGCAGCCATCTCCAGGCTCCCTTTATTCCACTATAGAAACAACAACAACCACCCCACAAAGCCGACCTCACTTTATTGAGCACCTACTGTGGGCGAGGCGCTGTTCCAGGCAATGAGGGGGATAGGGCGGTAGACAAAACAGACTGTCCTGCTCTCGTGAAGTGTCCATTCCAGAGGAGGAGGCAGACGAGAAACTAACAAACAAGATGGTTTCAGAGAGTTTTAAGTGCTAAGAGGAGAAGACCACAGGGCGATGCGATGGGGATCATTTGGGAGGCAGCGGCAACAGCGATCCGGCCAAGGAGCTCTTCTGAGATGACATTGGAGGAGCGGGAACCAGTGTGGGTGGACGGGAGCGGTTTCCCTCAGCCCCAACCCTGCTGTCCCCAGGGACGCCCAAGGGCGTGGACTTCACCGCTGTTCGGGACCTGCTGCTGTCGGTGGAGGGGGTCGAAGCCTTGCACAGCCTGCATATCTGGGCGCTGACTGTGGCTCAGCCTGTGCTGTCTGTCCACATTGCTATTGGTGAGCGGTGGGGACGCCTCAGGGTGGGGTGAGGGAGAGAGGCAGCTGGAGGCCTGGGCATCCCCTATGGGTCCAGGTGATTCCAGCACTTTCAGGATTGCATCAGGTGTGGGAGCTGGGGGGTTACCTGGTCCAGGAGTAGAATCTGGGCTTTCCTGATGTTCAGGGTCACCTGTCCTGTTCTGCTGTGGGTAAGGCATTAGAGTTGGGCTCCTGGTGGTTCCTAAGGGCCCAAGAGTCAGTAAATGTTTTTCTGGTGCCTCCCCTGGTGTGTTCTCTTGGCCCCCAGCTCACAGCGCAGATGCCCAGGCTGTGCTGAAGGCAGCCAGCGCCCGCCTACAGGGGCAGTTCCACTTCCACACCATAACCATCCAGATCGAGGACTACTCTGAGGACATGAAGGACTGTCAGGCATGCCAGGGTCCCTCAGACTGACTGCCTGGCCAGGAGCCAACTGGAGCACGGACAGGACCTACAAATGGCAGGGCCCAGTGTCCCTCAAGCCCAGCCAGGACCCTGTGTACCTTGGCTGTTAAAACCAGATCCCTCTCCTGATCTTAGCTCCACGTTCAGTGTGGAGGAGCCTTGCCCGCTGCAGGAATGAGGCTCTTCCCCTGCCTCCCATCTGACTACAGCCAGCCCCTCGATGGGAACTCAGCCAGTGTAGAGCTAGTACAACCCGACTCCTCCGGCTCCTGGGTCAGTTCCTGTCGGGCCTTGGTTTGGGCCTAATCCTCGGCCAATGCTGTCCTACCACCAGCCTCAGGGAAAGGTGGTGAGGACAGTGAGGGGAGCTGAAGGGGGGCCTGGCCTCAACGTCCCCGGCCTACACGCCCATTTCCTTTTTCAGCCTGTCTTGCCTTTGCCTTATGAATCTGTAAAGAAGCCTGTGGACAGGGCCCCCTCCCTCTTCCGCCTCTAACAATGATCTGATTTAAGGAGGCCATGAGGTCTGGGGAGTTGTGAGACAGGCTGGCGAGCCAGGACGAGTGGAATAGGGAAACTGAGACAGAGTTAGCTGGCCAGGCCATTTTACAGCCATCTAGTAAATCACAAAATTCTATGTTCTCCAACCAAGGATGCTTAAGAGTAAATGGTTTACACTTCTCCCCAACCAGAGAGTACATATGTAGCTTAAATCGCCCTATTCAGGGAGATAGATAGTAAAAATCCAATTAGTGCCATTTGTGGCAACACACTCATGGATAGATGAAGTCAGGGGAATCGATCTCATTTTGGTATATCAGCATAAAGCTGGTGAATATTCTGTTGAGAACCTCCCCTAAGATCTCCCCTAAACTCCCAGCCTTTAAAGCCCTCAAGATGGCCCCGGCCCGGTGACTCAGTCGATTGGAACATTGTCTTATACACCAAAAGGTTGGAGGCTCGATTCCCAGTCAGGGCACATATCTAGGTTGTGGGTTTGACCCTATTGATGTTTCTCTTTCACATAATGTTTCTCTCCTTCCCTCTCTAAAATCAATAAACATATTTTAAAAATTAAAAAAAAACCCTCAAGATGAAGAACCAGTGTGCCTGCGCCCTTCCCTTCCCCTTCTCCTCCCCCGCCCCCAGGTGCCCCCTTCTGCCTTTCTCCTAATCTCCAAGGGCCCTTCTCCCACCTCTGTAACTTTCTAAATAAACTTTCTCCTACAATCTGGGTCCTCAGCTCTGAAATCTTTTCACGACTTAAGATCTGAGGTCTAATTTCACCGCCAACACTGCGGGTAACGTAAGGACCCTGCACTGTCCTACGTGTCCCCCTGAGATGGGGGCCCAGGGGCACCTGAAGCCCATCTGTGCAGCAGTCACTTCAGCGGTGAGCCAAATGTTTCCCTTGCCTGGACGGAGGAGGCTTCTGACTAGGTAAGGACCCGGCTGGTTTCCTCTTTGCTCAGGAAGCTGTGCCAGCGCAAAGATGCCCTGGTCACTGCTGGGAGGAGGGACAGGAATGTCATCTTGGGTCCTGCCCTAACCACCTCGAAGCTCCTGGGCCACTCCTCAGCCTGACAGTGTCCTGGGGAGCTCAGCCTGAAACCGGATCTGATGGGGCCAGCTGTTGCCAGTATGGCCTGACCTATTCTGAACTTGGGGATGGGGGACAAGGAGGGGCCCAGGAGACGCTGGCTTCCTGGGGTGTGTGAAGGTTCCTGAATTAGGGGGCGGCTTAAATGTGTGTGTTTGTTTGTTTCTTTTAAATGTTTTATTTATTTATTTATCTATTTATTTATAGAGAGAGGGAGGGAGAAAGAGAGGAAGAGAAACATCGATGTGAGAGAATTACATCGATCGGTTGGCTCTCACATGCCCCCAACTGGGGACCTGGCTGGCAACCCAGGCATGCGCCCTGACTTGGAGTCTAACCAGCAACCTTTCAGTTCACAGGCGGACACTCAATCCGCTGAGCCACACCAGCCAGGGCTGTTTGTTTGTTTATTTTTGGACTGTGTTTATAAACGAATGGGGAAACCTGTCTCCAGTCTCACAGAATGTTAACACTTACCTCACAGGGTTGCTGTGAGGACGGAAGCCAGTCTGCTAAGCACCTGGTCAGTGAAGAGTGGTTACTTTTATCTTTATCCTGGAAGATGCAGCCTGAGGCTGCCTTGTTCAGGAGCCTGGTGGGCTTCCCGGCTTCCCCAGGGGCAGCACTGAGTTTATCTAGGCTCTGTCATTACGCATGGCAAGAGGAGGGGGGCTTGGCTACTCACCTCCCCCTCTGAGCCTCTCTCTTCTCAGTAGGGGAGTGACGACTCTGTGCCTTTCTAGCACTGACATCAGGGTTACCTGTGACCTAGACCAGTGGGTTCTTAAGCCCCTCAAGATTAGGGGGAAGTCATTTTGTGTTGACTTGGAAGTGTGTGTGGGGGACTGCTGATGGCCGTGCTGCCCTCCACCCCAATCTCAGGGGACTCAACACCCCTTCAGCCATGGCAGGCCTCTGGGTCCTGAGCTTTGCTCTATGCCGAGTCCTTAACCCCCTCTGCAGGCATTGCGATGCTCCATTTTTACAGATGAGAAAACTCAGAGAGTGACCTTTGGTCACATAGCCAGTATGAGGCAGTTCTGGAGTTTCTGCCTCACTCCCCTACAGCAGGGGCTGGGGACCTGCTCTGGGCTGCATGTTGTTACAGTGTGAGGCCTTGGGCCTTGCGGTGCCCTCCCCGTGGGCAAGGCTTTGCCAAGGCAGTTCAGTGCTCTGGGTGCCGCAGCTGTGATGGGGGAAGGCAAAGGTGCCTCTTTCCCCTGGCTGGGCCTGGCACTCAGAGCCCTGCGCCTTGGGAAGGCTGCCTGGGCTGCAGCTGTGCACTTCCTCACCCACCCTCAACTGCCCTTGATCCTGGGCCAGGCGGTCTCCTATCTTCTGTAACTCCCCGTCTCCCCGCCACCTCAAGAATCTAGCAGCCCCATGCCTCCCAAGGGAGAGCCTTCTCAGCACCCCCAGCCATGACTAGCCCCCAGGAGGACCTGAGTCATCCAGGGGGTAGAGGTCAAGCTAGAGGATGGGGGTGGGGAGCTTGTGGAGAGGCCTTGGGGGACAGCATGTTCTGGCCAGCGCACTCGTCACGGGAGTTTCCAAAGCGGAGAGGCTATCAAAGCAGAAAAACACCTGACACCCTGGATCTGGGCAGGACCAACTCTACCCCCACCCCTCTAGAAATGTCCCCCTCCCAGGTGCCTCCCCTGCGCAGCTGCCCAGGGGGTATTTATAGCCTGAGTTTGGGCAGCGAGGACGTTAGCTTTATTTCGGAAGTGATAATTCCAGTTCCAGGTGGATGAACCCAGGAGAACCCAGCGTCCCTTCCCCCACTCCACTCTTACCTAAAGGCGCTCCAGCTTCTGCTCCCACCCAGCCCACCTAGAAATGACCCTGCTTGATCCTAAGTGTGTGGGCCAAAAAAGTGGCGCTGTTCTTTCAGATACTCCCCTACCCCCTGAGTTTTCAGACCTCAGGCTGCGCACGAGCGAGCCTTCTAGTTTCCCTACTGGAGTGCGGGGCAGCGCTGACCTCTAGTGGTCCAGGATGGTAACGCAGGGCGACTGCTGAGCCTGAGCCTAGGGTCCCTGGCGGAGCAAGGGTTGATCCCTGGCCTTATCCCTTTCCTCCCCTCCCTGCTCTGCTCTGCTCCGGGAAAGAAGCCGAAACTAGCTTCCCAGCGCCTCTTTGCTCCATCGCTGGGACGCGAGGATCACACCTGGCAATGCAGGCGTCTGTGTTCCCACCGGACTGGAAACCCCGAAGATGGGGTTTCGACTCCTCACTCCTGTCCACATCTCGTCTTCCCAGGGCCAGGCACGCAGCTGATGTTTCTTCCATGATCTTTTCATCAAATATTCGTAGCGCACCTGCCAGGGTAGAGAAGGAGAACACGACCCTGCCTTTCTGAGGCTCCCAGGCCAGTCCGGGGGCCTGATGGTATGTGCGACCAGGCAGCATGCACAGTGCCGGGACTGCAGCAAACACCCCGCTATAAAAAGCGCAGAAGAGACCAATCTCCGATCCGGAGACAGGATGGGGGCGGGGGTCAGACAAGTCCCTGTGGGAGGTGAGGATTTGAAAGGCAAGTAGAAGTCCGCTGGGCAGAGTGATTAGCACTAGCAGAGACACCAAGACAGAGAACCGTCATCTGTTGCTGGGCTGGAGAGTGGGGTGAGGTCCGCCCCCTCCGGGCGCTGTGACTATGATTGGCCAATCGGAATCTGACGTATTGGCCAACTGGACGCCTTAATTGGGTCCCTAGATGTCTCTAGGGAGGGAACATCTGAGCGAGCCACCTCCCCTAAGCAGGTGCAATGCCCGGGAGTAAGAAAGGGGTTTCTGGAGGTCCTACTTAGGGCTTCTCCAGGCTGCGATACTTCTTTCGCAGCACGGACACCGGGTCCTTGAAGAGCACTGGCTCCAGGCGGAAGCGAGAGGACACCAGGGGCATGCGGCCGAACCCAGCCGCCATCTGATTGATGCAATCATGGTCTGCGGGCTGCAACGCAGGCGCGGGCTCCAGGCCCCTAGACGTCTAAGAGGGGGAAGAGAAATACGTCGGAGGGTTTTCCGTCTTTCTGAACCCAGCCTTCTCCCGCCCCTCCGCGGCAGAAAGAATTCGCGTTAGCCAGCGAAAGGGAACTCTCCCCTACTTCTCCCCACAGTGCCCCTCCATCCTCACCAGTGGTGGTCTGGCTTCCAGATGCCGCTTCCCATAGGGCACCTTGATAGGGGGCAGCTTGGTGGCTGCTGCTACTAGGAAATTCATTAGGACGTCCACACAGGTGGGTGCATCATTTGCCAGGCTCCTCAGAGCCTTGGGCAGGGAGTAGGTGAAGAGGGTGTGGTAATACCTGGGGGGGGGGGGGAGACAGGGAGAGGCTGCGACCACGCTCGCCCCCTTTCCAGGCCTCATCCTCCCAGTCCTGACATTCTCCCTTTGACCCCAATCTCCAAGCCTTTTGAAAAAAACCCTGCTGCCCCCTCTGAGCCCTGCCACTTCAGAGAGCCCCCACTGTAAGTATAACCGCTCCCCACTGTTCTGTGCTCTGTGGCTTGCCTGCAGCCAATGGTGTACCCCTGCCCCCTCCCTCACCACTCCCTGGGGGCCCTACCGCAGGCTCTGAGGAATGAACTCAGACCCAGACTGACGGGGGATCAGCTGGTTCCAAGGCCGTCAAATGTGGCAGCCCAAAAACCGCTTCTGGCAGGATGTGGACTAATGAGGCTGGTGCGGCTCCAGGTGAGCCTTGCTCCACGCAGCCTCCTACTGAACAACCCGGGCCCCGCAGACCTCAGGGGTGTTCTGCACCGTACTGAGGCTTCCCTGCGAGAGCTTCCGAGTCTCGTTTAACCATGTTAAAGGAACCCCTTTAACATGTTTAAAGAAGCCCTCCAGAATTCAGCCCCTGCCCCAAGACTGGGGTGCTTGTGCAGTCCCCAGCTCATCACACATGCATTTATTTTTTTAACTTATTAAATTTCTTTTATCATTTGACTATCACACAACCCTATGAGGTGAATACATTTTGTAGATGAGGAAGCTGAACCTCGGGAGATGTGAAGAGACTTGCCTGTCATACAGCTGAGACATGGCGGGCCTGGGCCTTGAACCTGAATCTCTGGGCTCTAGGCTGTGTTCGCTCCCATACACCCTGCTCCTGCTTTAAAGAGGGTCGCTGGCCCTCTGATCCCAGTGCCAGGGCCGCCACCCGCACCTGTGGTAGAAGGCGGCCGAGGTGAGTACCATGGAGAACTCGTTGACCTTCTCAGCGGTGTAGCCCCAGCCACCCCGGGCCTCATCCCAGAAGTGGCTCCAGGTCAGAAAGCCCACCATCCGCTCCGGGAAGCTCCGCCACACCACGAACGCAAAGTCCACCTGTGGAGACATTTCAGTGAGGTCCGAGGGAGGGGCAGCCAGAGACGTGGACGCAAAGCCAGCCTGGACTCGGGAAGAGGGAGTAAAAGCATGAAAGTTTCCAGAGGATGCTTAAGGGAAAATTTTCAGCTGAGGGCTGACAAAAAAGTGTTTTCAAAAGAGTCTGTAGACAGCTTCTGTTACATTTCTAAGGAGGAGGCTGAGTGTGGTTTCAAAGGCGGAGACCGGGTCTCTTACACCTGGCCCTCCCAGCTCTGGGGGTCCCAGGGGCCACCAGGGCCCCCCGGCTCAGTCCCCACCCACACTGGACTCTTCTTGGGCCCAGTCCTCACCTCACTTGTGGAAAGACTGCTGTGGGCATCGAGGCTGAGGATGGCGTCGGTGCTGACGGCACTGTACGGGAGGAAGCGGTCACTGACCTGCAGTGAGAGAGGTGGCAGCTGTGGGAAGCTGCCAGGACCCCCGCAGTGCGTATCCGAGTGTGTGCTAGGCGGGAGTCCTGCAGGCATGTTGTAAAGAAAAGGCAGTGAAAACGGAAGCCTGCCCTGAACTTGGACCTGAGGAACGCATTTTACCTTTCTGGAATTGGATTTCCCCTTTGGTAAAACGGGAGTTGGTAACTAGGGGCCCTTCCAGTTCTGACATCTCAGGATTCTTCCCTTGTCTTGTCGGATGCTCACCTCAACCCTGGAAGGGGTTGTCAAGTATCCTTCATTGGGAAGACACAGGTCCAACCCCGGCTAGTGTGGCTCAGTCGGTTGGAGCGTCATTCCATAGAGCGAGAGGTCGTGGGTTTGATTCCCCGTCAGGGCACATACCCAGGTTGCAAGCTGGATCCCCAGTTGGGGCGCATGTGAGAAGGAAACTGACTGATGTTGCTCTCTCTCCCCCATTCCTCTCTCTGTCAAAGCCATGTCCTCAGGTGAGGACAAGAAACAGGTTCAGAGATGAAGGGACTTGCCGGGAACCGTGCAGCAAGCAGGTAGGTGGCTCGTGCCAACCCAGATTGGCAGAAGTGTCCCCTCTCGGGCCCGTTTGCCCATGTTTCCTCGGGGCCCCAGTTTCTCCTCACCTGAAACACCGTGTACCCCCTCTGCCTTACCTTGTCTCATAAAACCCCAGTTCTCTGGAAGCACAGTTCACAAGGGCCAGGGATGGAAGAGAAGCATCTCTATTAGGCCTGTAGGCAAACCTCCTGTCTGATTCCTTCAGGTCCCACGTGAAGTCCGGCTTTGGCTCAGGCCCGAGTAAATGCCCTCCCCAGGTCCCGGCCTTCCAGGCTGAGCCCACCCCTTCCGTGCCTCCCCATCCCTCACCTTCCTGTGCCCCTCGATGACTATCAAGGGCACTGCTGTCTCAGGCCACCTGGCCGGGGGTGGCTTGTCATTGCTCCAGAGAACCAAGATCTAGGAGGGAAGGGGATGTTACTGAAGTCTGGGGCGGAAAGATCCCAAGAGTTTTCTTTCTCAGGATGGAAGAAATATGGGTGAGCAGCTGTACATGTGAGTTTGGGAGAAGATGGTTGGAGCCTAGGTCCTTTCATCGCTGTCCTATTCTTGCCTCTGGGCTTCTGGAAGGCAGGAATCCCAGTGACACGAAGGCAGCTAGCCACCCTTGGCATTAGAACTCAAGAGAGTTCTAGTGGTAGCCCCCAGCCTGGGTCCTGACCCCGTGCCCCACACCCACCCTCTCTCGAAGGTTTCCATTCTCTTTCTCCTGCTCCATTATCATTCCCAGCCCAGCTCATATGGCTCGTCTTTGTTGCCACTCCATCTGGACCCCGGCTGAGCTCACTGCTTCCCCCTTCTGCAAATAGTCTCAAGAGTCTACCTGGCTTCTCTGGAAGGTAGATTTGCAGCCTGTGTGCTAGGAGACGCTAACTGAATCAGAATCCCAGGGGATAGCCCTTTTCTGCCTTTTCTCTGCATCTTCGGCATCAAGCCCAGGGCCTGGTGCTCAGAAAACGAGCTGGGTGAATAACCGAGTGAACACAGGTATGTTTATTCCTCCAGCCTTCCCAAGAGGTACCTCTTTTTAGATGGAGTCATCAATTTCCATGGGGAGGCAGGGGCCGGGGTGGGGAAAAAGGACAAGAAACCTGGGACTTGAAGAAGGCAGCAAGGACACTTGAAAGTCCTCCTCGTGCCTCCCCTCCCCCAAATGGGGGATTATCTTTGGGGTCCAGGTATCTTCAAGGGCCCTGCCCTGTCTTTTGCCCCCCACCCTGGATCCCAGCTGGCAAGGGGACAGACCTGGGCACAGTGCTGGGAGCCTGCCACCGCCTGGATGAGCTTCATGGGGGGCTGGCCTGGGGCCCCCACCCAGATCAGGGCGCTGAACCTGCCTGCAGGGCGAGAGCCTGGGGGAATGAGACACAGACTGTTAGGGTGGGAGGGGACAGAATCCTCTGGGGAGTGACCGGGGTTGGGGACCCTGGGAGCCAGGAGAAATGTTTGGGACCTGGGGACGGCCTTGGTGGGGCTCTATGGTTGAGACTGGGAGGAACTTGAGGAGAGATGGTGAGGGGACTTCAGGTTGCCCCATGCCCAGGACATACCCTGCCTTAGGTAATAGAAGGGGAAGTCCGAGGGACTTGTGGAAAACGTGGGCAGGGCCAGGAGTGCCCCCGGGGGGCTGTTCCACAACAGCGAGGGGTGAGCGGACACTCCACGGATCCGGTCCTGAAGAATCTGTAAAATGAGAGCGGGCTCTGCAGACGGAGTGGCCAGGGTGGCAGTGAACCAGGTCCAAGGAAGTGAGGACCTGGCTAGCCGGGCTCCTCCCCCTCAGGCTATGGGAGAGGGGTGGCAGCTGCAGTAGCCAACCGCCGGGGACAGAAGGGTCCAGATGCAGATCCAGAGCACGAGACACGTGGTGATGGTGCCCAGACCTGGCAGATGTTGGGGAGCTAGCTGGCTGCCTCCCTCTCCTTCCTCACTGGTCACAGAGCTCGCCAACAGCTCGGACAATCTTTCCAGACTCAGAGCCTCTCCCACGCAGCCCCAGGGCAGCCAGTGCCCATCAGCTGATTTGGTACATGCTTTGGAATCTATCTGCCACAGCCATCCCTCTACAGATGGGGAAACTGAGGCCGGCATTGGGGAAGGAACTCATCCGAGAGCTCCAGTCTCAGCGTCATCCCAGAAGCATCTTTAAGGGGGAAGCCCAAACAGTCAGGGGAGCTGTCCTGAGAGGCGTGAGGCAGGAGCCCAGCGCCAGGGCCCCAACCAGGCAAGTCCCCTTACCTCGAGAGTGGTATGGATGACCTTCTCCACTGAGGAGAAGTAGGTGTCCCACAGGAACTGCGTCTGCTGACGCAGGGTGAGCACCCGCGCCAGGGGCATCTCCTGAAGGGCAGCCAGGACCTGGGCCGCAGAGGGAGAAAAGGGGAAGGCGTGGGGCCTCGGCAGGCCCTGACTGACCCTGGGGCGGGGCAGCCTGGGGTTGGGGGTCTGGGAACCAGAAGCCCTCTCCCTCTAACGGTTCTCCAGAGTTAGCAGCAGCCACCCTCGGTCAAGTCCCAGGTGACACAGCACAGAGAGTTCAAGGGTCACAGAGAGCTGAGTTTAAGTGCCATTTAGTAACCGTGTGACTGTGGACTAGCTACTTAACCTCTGAGTGTTCCCTTGTGTGTAAAGTGGGGACAATAATGGTACCCGCTGCCTAGGGTGGTGGTAAGGTACATGTTAAGTGCTCAGCCCGGTGTAGAGGTTCAGTGCGCGGTGGCTGCCGGTGTTAGCTCCCTACACCATCCTCCCTTCTCAGTGGGTTAAAGGCTCACACCCACGTCTCCCAGAGCCGGGCAGAACTGGTTTCATCAGATGGAAAAGTTGCTGTTTTTTCCTTTGCCATCCAAAGCCTCATCAAAGCACTCCAATTTTGGGGTGTGTGTGTGTGTGTGTGTGTGTGTGTGGACTTCCCTTACATTGGGTATTTAAGTGGTCATGGACCGTTGGGGCTGGGCCCATGGAGATCAACTGCTCTAACTCCTCCCATTGTACAAAAGGGGAAACTGAGGCTCAGGACGTGCTCTCAGAACCCTCAGGAGTCTGCCTCCATGTGGAGTCCTGGAGGCTTGGGGCTGGGGAGCAAAGTCATCAACATGCTACACAGACAGGGGCATAGAAATGAGAATGGGGGCTGGCCTGGGGGCTGGGATCCTGGGGTCCCTCCCATGTCCTGGCCCCAGTCCCCACCCCACGGGTAGGGCCCTCGGCTACCTGAAGTGGGAGCCTCTCATCAGCTACCACAGCTGCCTTGGTCCAGTCGATAACCTCGGAGAAGGGCAGCTCCCAGCGAGGGCTGAGAAGTACAGGGATGCAGCCAGCCTGGGGGGCGGGGGTGTCACTGGGGAGCCTGGTCCCGCCCTACACACACACACCCACCTCCCAGCTCTGAGGCAGCAGCTGCTGCTGTTGGGGGCAAGGAGAACGGAGGAGAGACCAGTGGTTTGGGGAGTGTGGGTTGTTCCACAGAGGGTGGGATGAATGGGGCCTCGGGCACACCCGAGTCCCAGAGTAAAGGGCAGCCCGAGGCTCCTTGCCATTGGCCTGGAGCCCGGAGGACCCTGGCAGCTTGGGGGGGTCAGGGATGGGGGATGCCCAAATTGGGGTTGTACCTGCAGGGCTTGGAGGAAGTGCAAGGCATCAAGACGCCGGCTGCGGTCCGGGATGAGGCAGAAGGTGGCATTGGGCAGCGATGCCCCAGGGTGGGCCCTAAAGAGGCACAGGAGGGGCCCAGGATGCACGAGGCCTGAGACAGCTGCCCTTTCCAGCACCTGGCCCACCTGATGGCCCCCCAGCTCCCACAGCAGCACTCCCAAATTCACAAGGTACAAGCCCTGCACTGTGTTCTTGTATGTTAACAAACACTCAGGCACAAGCACAGCTACACACTGATACACACCTACACAAGCGCCAGCCTCACACTCACCCCTCACCCACAAGGCAGGAGCCCCTGGGTTCCAGCTCTGCCTCTGCCCTTGCTGGCCTCAGAAACCTCCCTTCTCTTCTCTAGGCCTGGGTTTCCTCATTGGCAAAATGGGCATCTGCGGGACCTGATTTTCCAAGGCCAGGTCTGACTTAGACATGCCCGGGTTTGCCCTCCCACAGCTCGGCCACACGCAGACTCTCAGGCAGCCCTCACCTGAGTGGTCCCCATGCCCTGCCTCCCCACCCCCATCCTGAGAGCCCAGACGCGTGAAAGGCTCCTCTGTCGTGAGGTGGGTTGGGCCCCCAGCCTGGAACCACACAGGAAGCCGCTGCCCAGAGGCCCCTCACCCAGAGGACAGGCCTCCTCTGTTCTTCCCTCCTCCTCCCCCAGCTCCAGGGCCACACTCAGGCTGCGTGTGCCTGGCGGGGAGAGGGGTCACAGCCTCCTCAGAGCCACTTCCCTGGGACTGCCCGCCCACAGAAGTGGTGCCCATGACCTAGCTGCTAGGTAGGGGGGGAGGGGCAGCAGGCAGGCGGGACTCCTGGGCTCACCAGCCTGCTCAGAATAGGACTGACGAACAGGGCCCGGGGGGTCCCAGGATCCTCCTCAGCCTGAGTCCAAACCTCCAAGAAACAGTCCTGGGAGTCCTTAGTTAGCCTCTGGGCCAACCCCCATTGAACAGATGGGGAGACTGAGTCTCAGACTCAAAGATGAGCTCAGGGTCTCAGCCAGAGTTGGACAGAGCGGGAACTGGAACCGAGGTGTGCTACTCAGGACCCCGAGTTATTTGAACCACCCAGGGCTGCTGCCTTCTTTCTGCAGTGCTGGGGGTCTGCCAGGCTCTCCATGAAAGGGGTGGTGAGTTAAACAGCAGAAACCCCTCTACCTCGTTAAAAGCGGCAGCACCAGCCAGCTATAGCACGCCCCCATGCCCAGTAAAGCCTTAAGGGACTAAAAATGCCTAAGATTAAGGCTTCAGAGAGCCCCAAAACAAAGAGCCTGTTGAATGAACTATGCCCCTCAGCCCTCATTAGCTCCCGCTGTGCCCTCACTTTGAATGTCCTTCCACCTCGTCCTGGAGCACCCCTCCCTTCCTTGCAGCCCAAGGAATTCCACTCCATCTTAATGTCTAAGCTCAAATGTCACTTCCTCCAGCAAGCCTTCCTGATCTCTCCAGAGATGGCTCCCTCCTCTCTGCTCCCACAGCCCTTCTGTGCGCTGGAGCAGCAACAGGCCAAGCTAACCTTTATCAAGCACATACTTCGTTCCAGGCACTGTTCTAAGTGCTTGACTTTCATTACCACAGTTCATTCTCACAGCAGCCCTATGAGACAGGAGGTATGTGCTTTAACGTTGCATATTATAGATGGGGAAAATGAGGCCCGCAGAAGTCACGTAGCCTGAAGTACAGGAGCCAGGCAGCTTGCACAGCCTCTCCGAGCTTAACAGTGTGTATCATAACCAGGGACTTGTCTGTCCTGCAGGACCAAACGACTTGAGGATGGGGCTGTGCCTCCCTCATCTCTGTGTCTCTAGGGCCTGGCAGAGCGCCTGGCAGAGAACGGGTCATTCACTGGGTGCTAAATGAATGAATTCTCAATGTGCCATTGAGGCTAGACCCAGGACCAGTGGACCCCATGTCTGAAAAGTCAGTTTTGGTACAAGTTCTAGTAATGGAGCTGGTTGTGAGTAGTCAGTCAGTGGGTGGCCTTGGAAGGTGGTGAGTTCCCCATCAGTAGAGGTAAACAATCAGAGGCTAGAGGAGCACCTGCATGTGTCTGTTATAGAAGGGTCATTGTGGCAGCTGCCAATGAAGTCTTAGGGTTCCGTGACCGTGTAAGATACTTGCCACGGAATCAGGGCCTCAGGGCTCCAGGCTGGAGCGTATGTGGCTCCACCTGCCTTCACACGCCCCAGGCACTTCCTGTGGCCTTTGTGACCCCGCTGCCATAAAAAAATTTGATAAAAATTATAACTGATGTGTGACATGGACATACTAATATTATATGTAAAAATATTTTCTTCTACTAGAAGCTCATTTTTTCCTCCTAATTTGGAAAGAAATAAAAACACATTCATAGGCCCCTAAAAGCATCACGGGCCCTGGGCACTGCACCCCCTGAGCCCGGTAGAGATGGGCCAGGGGACTTTAAAACCTGCACTGGGCCCAGGCTGGTGTAGCTCAGTGGATTGAGCGCAGGCCTGCGAACCAGACAATCGCGGTTCAATTCCCAGTCAGGACACATACCTAGGTTGCAGACCAGTTCCCTGCAGGCCAGTTCCCAGGAGGGGACGCACAAAAGGCAACCGTACATTCATGTTTCTCTCCCTCTCTCCTTCCCTTCCCCTCTAAAGATAAATAAATAAAATATTTAAAAAAAAAACACCTGCACTGGACTTACGTAAATAAACAAATTTTTTAAACGGGAGAGCAGAGGTTCCTGTTGCTTGTACACACACAGAGAGCACCTCAGAAAAGGCAGGAGAGAAACCAGCAGTGGAGTCTGGCTCCAGGAAGGGAAATGGGGTGGCCAGGGACGGGGTGGGGGGGACTTTTTACTGTATGCCCTTTTGTGCCTTTGGAATTTGGTGCCATGTGAATGAATCCCCTATTCATAAAAATAAGTAACAATTTCAATGGGTGGAGGCTTATTCCAAAGCAACAGGAGACCTGCCCGACAAAGGTGGAAAAACATGGGCTTTGGAGCCAGAAGTGCAGGGTTTAAGCCCAATGCCAAGCGCCTGATCAGAAACATGAGGGAGGCTGTGATAATCAAGGAGCTTGTCACCAAAGGCCCTAGGCTGGCTCTACCCCTCCGAGCCTCGGTTTCCAGTTCCCTGGAGTGAAAACACTAATACCTCCTTTGAAGGACAACAGAGGATTAGCCACGACTTATGTGCCATGGTGGTGCAGCACCGGGCCCAGAGCAAGCTTTTCCTGAATATTCACTTCTTCCCCTCCCCCCCTCTCTTGAGTGAATGTGGGACAGTGGCAGGGACAGTGGCGGGGACAGTGAATGGCCTCTCTCTGGCCAGCAGTTGTTTACGCAGGCCACCTTCCAGGACTGGCCCTGCCGCTGCAGGCCTCCCTCCCTCACTATGTCCCTACACTGTCCGGCTTGCTCAGGCAGCCACCTGGCACTTGAGGGAAACTGAGACTCAAACTGCCCCAGAGATCAGGACTCCTGTTGCCTACAGAACTTCTTGAGGTTCCGATGACAATATCGGAGCCTGCCAGGCATCACGCATTGGAACCAAACTTATCAAAAATGCTGCTCAGAGGGAAGGCCACACTGATTAGAAAACCTCCGCCAGTTCTGGACAGTTTGGGGCCAATCGGTAAACCGTGTGCAGCTCCCTAACTCTCAGTTTCTCAAAGAGGTTCAGGCTGCAATGGCTTTCAGATTCACCAGTAAAACCTGTGGCATTTAGCAGTAACTAAAGTCAGCTGAAAGAACGGTCTGTGCAAGAACAGCGAAGTGCCAAGTCAGAAAAGTGACACGGGGCATGGTGAGTGGAGACCCTTGTCACCAAAGGTGAGCTCTGAGCCTGAGCTACCTGGGGGATCCTGGCTTTTGGGGTAACTGCCGAGAATGCCTGCTAGGGGAGGGTCCTGGCCGAAAGGCAGTGGAAGCTGGTGGGGAAATTCCGTACTTCCCGTGGCTACGGGGCTCCCTAGAGGAAGTAGAGAGACTCAGTCCCACGAGCGCCCTTCGGCTGAGAGAAGCCCCAGAAGCCCCAAGCAGAGGCAAAAACGGAGCGTGGCCGCCGGAGGGAAGAATTCCTGGGAGGGAAGTGGAGCTCAGAATAGCCCTGGTTGTGTCAGCAGAGAACAGGGATGTGCCTGGGGCACGTGCGAGGGAAGGAGACCAGGGCGCCAGCCTCCAACTCAGGTCTGCCCTGGGAGATGGAGAGGCAATGCTCTGCTTCAGGGCCCCGGGACAACCTCAGGAAGATGTTCATTCTTGCCCACCCAGCCAGCCTTTGGAGACTGCTGGCCTCCTGGGGGTGCAGAGGGGTTAGGGTGCTTAGGGGTTCATTGCTCTATCACCTAAGGTGTGTCTGCCCATTTAGGCCAGGTACAGAGAAGTTTCTAAATTAGCTCTCCATGTCCCATAGGCCAGTGCCCTTTATATGTATTCAGGACTCCCACTGGCAGGAAGTTCTTCTGTAGGTCTAACCCAATTCATATTTGCTCTAACCAAAGACTGTTTCCTTGATAGGTCAATCCCCAAAGATAGACATAGGAGCCGCTCCCATCTAGGACTAATCACCATGGCTCTGTGGGATTTGACAGGGTTGACCATAAATAAACTGTCCCTTAGAACTCAGAATGCTAATGCTGGAGGCTTTGGAGACAGGCAATTCTGAGTGAAAATACTGCCCGTGCTCTTTCTGGCTGGGTGGCCTCGAACAACTACTTAACCTCTCTGAGCGTCAGTGACTGGTACACAAACCCTTAATGATAGCGATGAGTATTATCTTATTATAATCATTATTTATGAAAGGGCTCAGCAGAGAGCAAACACTATAGAAGAGTGTGTTAAATAAAATATTAGCGAAGGAGGGATTGGCATAAGAGAAAAAGAGTAAAAGTGAGTCATGTTTTTATGTTTTTAAAGAGCCCCAAGGGAGTTCTCCAAAACCTGCCTTGAACCAGATGGTAGGGTTCCCCGCTGTCTAACTTGACTCCCTCCTGCTGTAGCTGGTTCTCCCATCTCAATCCCGCCCTCTACCTTGACCTCTGGGCTTGCTCCCATTAGAGACCCCTCTCATCCAGCCCCCAGGGGGAAAGTTCCACTTACTGCTCAGGTCCGTGGTCCTGCTCACAGCGCCCATCCCAGGGGCAGGCAGAGGAGTTGGTACCTGCCGTGTGCCACCCACCCCTCTCTTCTGCCAGGGCTAGCAGGGCCGCCCTGGGGTGGGGGCTGTACTGCCGCAGCTGTCCAGGAGCCCCACCTCGAAATGGGTGGGCTTCAGGGAGAATCGGGAGGGCCACATCAAAGCCACGTCGGAAGGTGTCCACTGTGGGGCTGGCCTCGGCCACCATCGCCTGTCCCAGCTGGAAGGTCCGAGAACAGGAGGCTGGGTGGAGCCGGAGGACCAGATGGTTCTTGCCTCCATCCCATTTCGGGGGCACCAGGCTGCACTCTCCAGCTGACGCATCCAGGCTGAGGAGGCGGAGGCAGGCCTCGGCAGGGTCGGATGTGTGGTAGCGGGATCCCTCGATGGAAGCCAGGATCTTGTGCTGCGTCTCAGAAATGGGTCCAGCGGCCAGGTACACAAACACCTTGAGGCCACCACCCCTGCACTTCGAGGCATCAAAGCAAGCTCCCCAGTCACAGCTGCCACTACGGAGGGCTTGAGGAGGTTGAGGGGCATCTTCTGGCAGCTCCCCAGGATGGGAGAAACTCTGCAGGAGCTCTGCATCCAGCCAGCGGGGCCAGCCTTGGGGGGGCCCTGCCTGAGGTCTGGTGGGCACTGCCAGGCGGAGAAGGGGAAAGATTCCCAGGAGGCCGAGAAGCCAGGAGGTCAATAGTGCCAGCCACAGGGACTTCCTTCTCCACGACTGCATGTGGCCACCCACAGCCAGGGCTGGGGAAAGCAGGAGGAGCAGGGACCCGAAGGGGGGGTCGCTGGAGCTGGGATCACCCTAGTTCAGTGCCCTCATTATACAGATGGGAAGACCAAGGCTCGTGAAGAGCAGGCTGCCTGCCTAAAGTCAAACAGCAAGTAGCCAACCAGGCACAAGGAGGCCAGGTAGAACCCAGCTTTCTGGCTTTGCTTTCCTGTGGTCAGGACTCTGCTTCCTGGGCCTTTGGACAACCAAGCCAACCTTTGGTCTCCCAGCAGTAGCCCCTGCCCCTGGGCCCTATTTAGGCTGATGCAACCGCTGTCGAGATTGCTAGGCTGTGTCCTCTCTTCTTGGCTGAACCCCCTGACCTGGCCCTTGATGGAGAGTACAGTCTGCCAGGCCATGGGGGACCTGTCAGAGCCCCCACAAGAGGTGGCTTGACCAGGGTGCAGGGCTAGAAGGAGCAGGGGTGGTCTCCCCCAATCCTCCCCCAGCCTAAGCAGCCCCAGAGCAGCCCTGGCCACCCCTGTGTCCCCTGACAAGCACTCCTGGGCTGCAGGCCCTGTGGCTGAGTTAAAATTAGACCCAGTGCCCCATGTGGGCTATCAGGGTCAGCTGAGGTCAAGGCCTGAATGCAGCTGGTGCCCCTTGGCTGCCGTGCCAGGAGTGCTGTTGGTCTTGATCCTCTCCTACCCTGCCGCTGTCTCCAGCTCAGGCAGCTTGGCCCCTCCTCCTCCAACCCCTGGGAGCTGTCTCTGCACCCTCTGGCTCTGAGCTGTCACGGCGCAGAGGGCGGGACTCTGCATCAAGACCCTGCCCCGTGGCGCCCAAGCCCTTGGGATGTGTCTTCTCCGGTCCCTCTCCAGGCAACATCTGGCCCGTCTGATCTCTCTCCTGGTGGAAGCCGGGCCCCTCCCCTGGCAGCCCTGATTCGCTCCTGGCTGGGAGGCAGGGTCTCCACTTAACCCCTTCCAAACCAGTTTCCTCAACTTGCTAATCATAACCAGCAGGGACCGTACCTCAGTTTGCCACAAGCTATCACAGCCTGTCTCTGAACTCTCACATTAACACTTCAAGGCAGAGGCTTACCACTGTCATTTTTTACGGATGAGAAAAGTGAAGCTCAGAGAAGGGATGTTATCCTTTTAAGGAAACTCAGCTAAGAGGCAGGGTTGGGGATTTGAACCCTGAGCTCCTGACCCTAATCCTTAGCGCTTCCCACGGCCACCCCAGCTGGGGGTCTGAGTGTGGGAGTCTACAAGTCAGACGAGATAATGTAAGTGAGGTGTTAAGCAGCCAGGTGAGGGTATAGGACAAAGTGCTCCCTACTATTTCCAGGTTGGTCCCTCTTCCTTCAGCTGCCCCCACGGCACACCCCAGGGCAGCAGGGGGATGGGGGAGGATGTCTGAAGGCTGCCTGAGCCTAGAGTTGCTTCCTGACTGAGGTGCCAGGTGTCATATTGGCCAAGGTGCCCAGGCAGAAAATAAAGGCTAAGTTCACTGTGTTGGATCTGGAGTGTTCTCTCCTCGCAGCCTGATTCCACTTCCTCCACACTTCCTTTTCTGGGATGGGCACTAAATCTCCAGATGGGATGTGCCTAGTCTCCCAAGTGTAAGGGGCCTGGAGTCTACACAGTGCTGTGGTTAAGAGCACAGCTCTGGTGCCCTTAACAAGCTGTGTGTTCCTGTGCAAGTTACTCCACCTCTCTGAGCTTGTTTCCTCTGTGAAATGCTGAAAACAGAGATATCGGGAACAAAGGCTTGCTGGGAAGGGGATTAAATGAGATAATGCCTGACACAGAGTAGGCACCTAACAAGGTGTCCTTTGTTCCTCCTCGGACCCAGAGGAAGTTGAGATAGATGATTTGCTCAAGGGACACTAAGCTTCCATCTGGGGTAGATCAGGATGAGGACTTGGTTTTTTCCTCTTGCACCCATGTTTTTCCTGATGCAACCCCCATCTCCATTCAAGAGGAAAGAAGACACTTCGAGCTCTAGGAGGCAATCACCGTGGAAACCCATCTGCTGCTTCTTTGCTGCTGCTTGTTCCTCCAGCTCTGAGCTGTCTGGGTGCATCACTGCAAAATTAACCAGTGCGGCTACAGGAGCCTCCGGGGTCTCAGGTCTCACTTACTTGAGCACAGATAAGCTCAAACCCTGGCGAAACCCCACGGGAGCCCACAATATCACTCCAGCTCCAGCCCTGGGCATCTCCAGGATTCAGAGCAGTTCCTGCCCATAGTAGGTGATAATCCACACTTGGACCCCGCCTGAGGGAAGGCCAGGGATGTAGACCAGGGGACCAGATGGGAGGTGGGGGAGCAGTGCTGGCTTCTGCTCCTTCCCTAGGCACGGTATGTGACACTGGACAAGTCATACCCTCTTTCTTGGCCTTCAATGTCTCGTCATCAGCTCAACATGGTGGCAGGGCTAGGCTTTCTAGAGCAGATAGATCTGGAATCCTTGCTCAGAAGTAATCCTGACGCAGTTCAGAAGGTCAGTCTTTCCCTTTCCTGTCCTTTTGACACTTGACCTTGTTAAGGAAAAGTTTACAAAGCTTAGAAGTGAGGCAATGAGGAGACTGTGATCTTCGCCCACTGGGGCATCACCAGACAAGCCCCCAGGGGTCGTGTGGCTCCCTGTGTGTTCAGGCCTAGGTATTTTATAAACCTGAGAACTAAGGGGCTAATTCGTAAAGAACAGATATCCAATAGTATCAAAATGATTTCTGACCAGCGGAGATTATAGGTTAAAGCCTAAAGGTCATAGGTCACTCACTTTTTCCAGCATTCTTTATAGTTCTTTGGCTATATCAGTCAGTCCTCTGAACCAGCTTTGTCATCCTGATAACTTTTTCATGAATAAGTGAAATACAACTTTGACTCGTGTTCACTATGCATTTGTATAATTTTTAGCAGCCCTGGCTGGTATGGCTCAGTGGATTGAGCACCGGCCTTCAAACCAAGGATCGCTGGTTTGATTCCCAGTCAGGGAACATGCCTGGGTTGTAGGCCAGGTTCCCCCCACTAGGGGGCGCTCAAGAGGCAACCACGCATTGGTTTTGTTTTACAAAAGAAAAAAAAAAACCTTTTTAAAAACATATATTTTTAAAAGCATTCAGTTGAGTATCATTGGATACCTCACTGGGCCTCATTTTCCTCCCTTGTGAAGTGGGAGATTCAAGGAAGAAGCTGACAAATTTGCTGACCCTGAACCAAGCACTGTTGAGCTCTTTAGAGCCATGCTTTCATTAAAGCCTTGAAGGAAAATGGCAAAGGTGGAGGGAGAGGGATGGGGAGGAAGCTAGGCAGCTTTTCATTCCATTTTAAAAAAGATTTTACTTATTCATTCTTAGAGAGAAGGGGAAGGAGAAAGAAAGAGGGATAGAGACATCTATGTGTGAGAGAAATATCAGTCTGTGTGTGTGCCTCTCACACGCACCCAACCTAGGACCTTGCATGAAACACAGGCACCTGCCCTGCCCGGGAACTGACCAGCAACCTTTGGGTAGGTGTGCGGAATAATGCCCCAACCCACCAAACCACACCAGTCAGGGGTCTCCCCATTTTTTAGGAAAAGTGAAGTGATTGCTCCAAGGCCTATACAGCCAATAAATAACAGAACCTGGATTTGAACCACTGTACCATGGGCGGGGGGGGGGGGCTAATTCCTGTGTTGCATATTTATTGTGGGGCTTGTGGGATGAGCTAACATGTGGGAAAGCGCTTGCCAAGCTGGACAGGTGTGCACCCCTGTTAATAACTATAGCAGCCCAAGGCAGCCTTCTAACCGGCCACATCTAGACACTGCCCAGGGGCTGGGCTCCCCTCCCATGGGAAATGGGTCTGCGCTTCCTGTAGGGTGGGTTTCTCTTGTCTGGAGAAATCCAGCGGGGACTGAGGTGAGCAGACATCGCTGGTCTAGCCCCTTGCACACAGGACAGCATCCCTGCCTGAAAATGCTGGACAGACTTTCAGCCCTGGCCACTCCTTCGAGGCCTGTATTCCTGGGACAGGGTTCTGGTGGGCTGCAGGGCTGGACAGGCCAAGTAGAGAAAATTGCAAATCCTGGTCTTGAAGTCATTCTGTCCCATCTTCCTGAGCGTTTCAACCTGAGTTAGAGCTTCTCTGAGGGCTCCAGAAGCCACGCCCAGCTTCCTCTAGGTTCCCGAGCCCTCCCAGAGCAGCCCTCACCCAGACAACTTCACCTCAGGCCTGGGTGCCAAGGGGTTAAGCGGGGCCAGCGTAGCAAATGTTTACCTAGCAGGCAGATAATTATCAGTCTGCTTTCCAAAGCAGAGGCAGGAAGATTTATTTCTCCTCTCCTCCCTCCCTGGGGATGCTACTTGGCAGAGTAAACACAGCTTTCTGTTGGCTCTTGGAGGAGCTCCCCAGCAGAGAGGTGGGAGCTGGTGGAAGGAAGCAGGCCCAGAGGTGGGCTTTCAGGAACAGATGCAGGCAGCTCAGTCCTTTTTCTCTTAAAGTCTGAACTCCGGGCCCCACCTCTGGAGCCTGGCCTAGACTGACATTCCTTAAGATGTGATAGTTATGGCAATTGACGGAGCCCCTGCAAAGACTGGGCCCCTCACATGCATCACTCCGTTTCATCCTAACAACCACCAGAAGAGCTAGGTGCTCTTAACTCTGCTTCCATATTAGGGGAGGGAGATGCAAAGAGGTGAACCCAGTTGTGAGCTGTAGACCAAACCATGATCTGATACCAGACCTGCTTGACCGGCTGCCGATTTGTTAAGCATCTACTATGTGCCAGGCATCATGTTGGGCACTTTATTTCTATCTCTAATCCAGAAGCAGCATTTCCTAGAATCCCTTTACTATGCTGTTAACATCAGAAAAGTGAGACAGGCCCTGGCTGGTGTAGCTCAGTGGATTGAGCGCGGGCCTGCAAACCAGACAATCGTGGTTCAATTCCCAGTCAGGGCACATGCCTGGGTTGCACGCTGGTTCCCTGTAGGCCAGTTCCCAGCAGGGGACACACGAAAGGCAACCATGCATTGATGTTTCTCTCCTTCTCTCCTTCCCTTCCCCTCTAAAGATAAATAAATAAATAAAAAATCTTAAAAGAAGAGTGAGACAGTACAGCCCATAACTGGGGGAGGAAACACAGGTGCAAAACCCAGAAATGAGAAGAGATGAGAGATGGGCCTCCAGCTGCCTCGTGTAAGCCAGCCAGTGTCCTCATCAGAGGTCCCTCAGGTCCTGTCAGTTTCACCTCCAAACAAACCCAGACTCCAGCCCGGTTTCCCCCTCCCCTGCTCCCACCCTGGTGCAGGCCGCCTTCTCTGTGTGCCTGGACCGGCCCCCGGCCACTGCTTTCCTCTTGTCTCATTAAAATACTGTCTCCTCACAGCAGCCAGATTTGTTCGAATGTAAATCCCATTCTTCCTTGTCCATAACTCTGTATTAACCATATCCTTTTAGTTTCTGTATTTTGGTACCCCACTCCCATGGGTGGGAGTGGGGCGGGAGTGGTGGCTTGTTGACTTTGGAGGGACTCCTCCTCCCCAGGCTTCCCAATTCTTAAAGGTTGTAAGGGACTTACCCTTGAGCTTGCCCTTGAAATTCAAAGTAACCAGTCCAGAGCCCCAGTTACCCCCTCTACTTGGCACTCAAACTCAGGGACACTACCCCCTGCCCTCGTCACCCCAGGACCAGGTACCAGTCAGCTGGGTAGAACTCCTGTGCCTCGGAGCTCGCCGTCATTCATATCAGCCAATCTTGAGCCTATTTACTCTGCCCCATCTATTCTTCTCATAGAAACCACGGTGAAACCTGCAGTTGGTATATTGTTGTTATTTTAAGATGTTTAATTTATTTATTTTTAGAGAGAGGAGAAGGGAGGGAGAAAGAGGGAGAGA